ATTTTGGAAAACTAGTAAAAAAATAGTAATTTCGTATTTTGAATGAATGTCAAAATACACAATTTTGTTTACATTTTGCTACTTTTATGATAAATAAAATTCACATTGAATGCTACTTTCTTCAGGTTAGAAGCATTTACAATGCTCTAAAACCGTAATTTTAACATAATAAAACTTGTGTTTGCTTTTTCTAAAGAATAAAAATGTATTCATCGCTAAGGCATATTGTGCCTTTAAAGGTGTATCCTGTAGTTTACATAGAGTATGGTAAACAAGATCAACAAGGAAAGGCGGCGTTCAATGAACGCAACCCCAACAACACCCAGCAACAAGGACCAGAGGCCAGGAGCCCAGGAGGACCACAGACAAAATAAGACAGAATAAGAATAAGACAGGATAATCACTTAATAATACATGAAAGGAAATAAAAGTAACTGATAAGGAAATCAAATACAATTGACTGATTAACAGGTCCATAAAGTAAAAGGGCACAGGGGAGGGGACTTAAAGTACGGGGAACGGGAGGTGCAAACTAAAAATATAGGGGCAAAAGGGAAAATACTTACCGTAGACGAGATAACAACAAGGGACACTAACAAAGTGTCACCAAAACAGTATAAAACAACAAAGACATACATCTGAGTGACAGAGGGGCACCGCCTTGAAACGGTCAGCAGCCCAAGTACTCCTCGGGACATTAAACCGGTAAATGTAGAAATAGCTATAAGTGTTTTGAATAAGGGCTATAATACAGTCAAAAGAATAGTTAGTTATGGGTCGTGAACACTTATCATAAGTTATAACTACATTCATGTATATGAAAATTTTAAATTGTAACTATGTATAGATTAGAGTGCATACTGGGTGTTCTTCGTAAATAAGAAAGCTTAAAAGGAGCGGAGCTTGCGAAGCGACTGTAGCTTTCTTATTAACGAAGAACATCCAATATGCACTCTAACCGGCTTAGTGCTCCGCCAACTTATATAAAATCTGTTCTATCCTGAAAATTTGAAAAATCCTCGTCGGTGATTGGCTTAAAAAAATTGGCGAGCACTAACTTTGGCTAATGAGATATATTTAAGTTGCTCGAATAACTTAAACAAAGCTTTATTCTGACACCAACATCTACGCCAGAATATACTACTTAATCTTCAAAAAGTCGAGATAAAATCAATCTCAAGAAGCTAAATATTTAAAGTACAAAATCCAGTTTTTATGTAGAATGTGGTTTCGTTAAAGGAGAATGTATACATTTTCACTATCATGAATCTACTTGTTTACTGCATTTAACATACACAATTTAGCTTTTCACAAATGCACCAAACCTTTTGGTCGATTATCTCACAATAATCTTAACTTTTAAGAAAATACCATGTTATTGTCACCGGATGAATATGCATCCAGGTAACAGTGGCATTTTGCAAAATTAATACAAACACGATAATGACAAAAAAACTACAAAATAATGATCAGAGTTGAGAGACGTTATGTTATGAAAAACAAATGAGCCGCGTCACGACAAAACCAACATAGTGGGTTTGCGACCAGCATGGATCCAGACCAGCCTGCGCATCCGCGCAGTCTGATCAGGATCCATGCTGTACGCTTACCAACTCTATTACAAATGGAGAAACTGACAGCGAACAGCATGGATCCTGATCAGACTGCGCGGATGCGCAGGCTGGTCTGGATCCATGCTGGTCGCAAACGCACTATGTTGGTTTTGTCGTGACGCGACTCAAATTAAAATAGTTCAAATTTTTCTAAACTTTTGCATTTGCGGGGTTACACAATGCTAAATTGGCATAAATTTATCGTCATGTTTTTTTCAGAATAACATTAACTCGATCAAATAGACCAAGCCTTTTTCAGGCATAAACTTGCTCTGATTTCAAGTTGAAAAACGTGACAATGTTCAGTCAGGGGCGAAGTAATGCCTTTAACAATTGAATGTACGTCAAAGATATACTCAGCGTATATATGTAAGTATGCAAAACTTATAAATATACTTCATTTATTAATGCAAACATAAACGCTTTCTATAGAGTGCTGCCAATAGACAGTTAGAGACATAAAAGACCAACACTCTTCCAGAGATATTAAGTGTAACACTGACGTCCAAACAAATTCATATAATACATGTTTTTCTCTTCACAAATTTCTTTAACAATAGTAAAACATTTATTACAAATTTCAAATCATTCAAAGGATGAAAACAAACGATTGTAAAAGACGAAAACTATTATAATACAAACTATATGATTACGGCAAACGAACATTAGCAAACACTGTAAATGTTTGATGGCAAGAATAGTGACACCGCTTTGCTTCTACGAGTATTGCATTCGTTGAATTTTAATACAAATAAAAGTAATACCTTCAATATTGATATCATGCATAACAAACAAGTACTTATTATATCCACAATAGAGATGAGAAAATTGCAGATTAAACAAATAAATATTAAACAAGAGCCATGTCAACATGGCCATCCCCCGCCGAATGTGTTTGCTCATTGGAAGAATGTATATATAGTAGAGCAGAAAAATTCCATTTTAAGAGGTCTTTTGGTAATTAAAACTGATGGCTATAGTGATTACAGATTTGAAACCTATGTGAATACTGATGGCTGAAAATAACAAAGGGCAATAACTGAAAAATAATGCAGGGTAGGTTATCATTCTTGTGTGCTGCATCCCTCCTCAGTAAAATCTATCCACCTATGAAGTTTCAAGTTGATACCTCAAATACCTTTTGAGAAAAAAATTGAATTGAAAAATTAAGTATGAAAAATAACAAAGGGCAATAACTCAAAAATTATAAAAGGTACAGTTATCATTCTTGTGCAGTGTACACCTCCTGAGTGAGATCTATGCACCTATGAAGTTTCATTTTGATATCTCAAAGGCTTTTTGAGCTATGCTCTGGACAAAAATTAATTTTGAAAAATAACAAAGGGCAATAACTCAAAAATAATGCAGGGCAGAGTTATCATTCTTTAGCACTGCACTCCTCCTCAATGAGATCCATCCACCTATGAAGTTTCAAGTTGATATCTCAAATACTTTTTGAGATAAGCTCTGGACAAAATAGCATGAAAAAAACAACAAAGGGCAATAACTCAAAAATTGTATAGGGAAGAGTTCTCATTCTTGCGCACAACATTCCTCCTCAATAAGATCTATCCATCTATGACATTTCATGTTGATATCTCAAACACTTTTTGAGTTATGCTCCAGTGGCAGCTCCACTCAGGTGAAAAATTAGGTATGAAAAATAACAAAGGACAATAACTCAAAAATTATGAAAGGAAGAGTTATCATTCTTGTGCACTGCACACCTCCTGAGTGAGATCTATGCACCTATGAAGTTTCATGTTAATATCTCATAGGCTTTTGGAGTTATGCTCTGGACAAAAATCAATTTTGAAAAATAACAAAGGGCAATAACTCAAAAATCATGCAAGGTAGAGTTATAATTCTTGTGCACTGCACTCCTCCTCAATGAGGTCTATCCACCTATGAAGTTTCAAGTTGATAACTCAAATACTTTTAGAGATATGCTCCGGACAAAAATTTCGGACGGAAGGACGGACGGACGGACGGAAGGCCGGACGGACGGACGGACGGAGACTATTTCTATATCCTCCGCCGAAAATTTTCGGCGGGGGATAATAAGCAATGCTTTTGAAACAAGGTATTTCAGGTACAAAAATTGCTGTTTAGATACATTTTTTAATGTTGTAAAGTTGTATTCCAACTTAAGACAGGTTATATAATCATTACATAATACTGCATAATGTTACTAAAAAGTATATCATAATTATATAATCTTCATAATTATGTATTTTGAAACAAATATTAAGGATTTGAACTTTAAATTAGATTTGAGTTTATTTCCAAGCTTAATGATTTTAAACAGGTATTGTTTTATTTTAATAATGATAAAATCGTTTTAACCACTACTCCTGCGCAAACTATTAAATAACATTGCATGATAAGAAATTAGGTAACTCAAATTTCTGTTTAATGAAAGACTAATTATTTAATTTTTCAACACCTAAAATTGTTGTATAGAAAAAATGCAATAGGATATTATCTAAAGAGATCAATAAGGTATTGTCTTTAGCATACTACGCCAACATGAAATAAATAAACTACAACGCACGGTGCATTTTATCATCGAAGATACATTGTATATACATGTAGTTTTGTCAAAATACGGTCGATTTATGTTTTTATTGTTCAATTATGCACTTAATGACAATCCGAAAGACATGACTAGTTTATTTATTAATATGTTGCCAGGTAACAGATTTGTTAAGAGGTCATGTAAGTATTTACTATGATGTGTTTGTAAAGCGTAGGTTTATATTGCAACTATGGTAGCCGTCTTGATTATCTGTTTCTGTTATATAAATTATAGAATTATTAAAGAATATGTTACTCTCCAGTTCTATGAAATGACATATGAAATATATGAAAAGGTTTATTTGAAAATCCATACTTTCTTCCTAAAATAAATATCCAACATGCTTCTGTTAAATAATTATAAAATGATTAAAGAACATTACTCTTTTGTTCTATGAAATTATACATCAAAACAGTCTTTGTAAAAATGCATCTTTCTAAAGTACATTTGATATTTTTATTTGAAAATAAAACACACAGCATCATGTTAAAACACGAACGATATAAAAAGTTATAGCAATCGTATAAAAAGTATGTTTTGCATAAATTCATTCATTGTAATAAAAAAATACTTTTTTTTTCGTCGCATAAACATCTTAAATACTGAAGTTATTTAAGTTATAAAAGTTACTGTAAATAACAAATGGCACATATTTTTATTTCACAGCAAGTCCATCATGTCCCGTTTATGTTAAGAGTATTACGTATATAGTGGGCAATTCTGTAATTAGGCAATATTGTATTTTGAATCAATGATGCTTTCCCAGTTACTGAATTATCTAACCACGAAAAGAGAAAGTGAAAACTTACCAAAAATATACTTCTTTTGTAAAGTTCCATCGTCGGTGTTTCAAGTTTTACAAAATTCGTCTTATTTATAATAATTTATATAATTAAATCATTAAAACAACAACTATTTAATCCAGTTCATTCTTATCCGGATATTTATATACAACATTGAAATAAAGCGTTCTTTATCAAACCAGCAACAAGATATTTCTAGTATTACATTCCATAATAAAGTGACAGACACAAGTTTTAGCTGCGACGTAATAAGTTTATCACTAAAGTAAACGATGCTCATTTGTCAAGCGAGTCCAAATTATGAAACTGAGACCAACAGTTTGTTTACCAAAATAAATTTAAACCACCATGCTATATATTAATTAAACTACGAGGTTATTTCACTTTCATAACATCCATTGGCGTTACATTTGATATTGCAAAGTAAGCCACAGAAAAAAACGTTGTTTTCTTATATACATGTATAACTTCTGGGAAACCTGATACTTAATAGTTACCACCACACTGCATTATATTGTGTTCATATATTCGTTCACCAGATTAGCAAAACTAATTGGATAATCGTATAAACAATTTATTAATATACCTTAACAAGCATTTATACAAACTTTAATTAACCCATAAATATTTTACAAGATCCACCTGTGTTTAAGTATGTATCTGTATATATCAGTCATGTAAATATGTCTATCACTATTTAAATACTCAACGTTCAATTAAAGTAAAAAAATTTAAGAGTTTTTGAACAATAATAATAATTCAGAAAGGTCAACTATCTATTTTTGGTTGGGTTTCACGTCGCACAAACACATACTAGTTGATGTGGCGACTTTCCAGCTTTACTGGTGGAGGAAGACCTCAGGCGCCCCTATGTATATTATTTCAGGCACAAACGGGCACCTGAGTAGAACCACCGCCGTTCCGTAAGCTAGGTGGATAGCTTTCTAACACAGACGCTGGCGCGGCTCGAACATACAGCGGTTAGGGGCAGCAACAGAAATACAAAATAATTTCTATCATTTATAATGCGATTGTTTTTCAACCATTTTTCGGGCAACCAACAATTGCTGTCCACTTCACCAGCGAACAATATTAGACAAATGACTTTAAAGGGGGCAATATTAATTGCATTGTGTATTGTTTATTGTAAAACGTATATCTTGTTTAAAACAATAAATAAGTGCCAATGAAATAAATTTCAATATAATGATTCGATAAAAGGTAGTAAACAATATAGATTTTGGTTAAACTATAACGATAAACAATGTGATTTGACTATACCTGTAGAATTTCGTAGTCATTATTCCCTGCGGTCTGGAGACCGCAGGGTATTGGTACGCGTTTAACTTTTGAGGCATGGAGGAGCACGTGACCTGTTTTCGGTACATGGATCTGTAAACGTTACATGATTGGTTAATTGACCCTTTCGAAAACCTGGCTAAATACCGTTTGCCGGTACGTGACGGATTTACCTCTAAGGAATTAGGCAGAATTACATCTAATTAGAACAAAAAAACTATTACGTGATATTTCTAATTTTCTATAAATATTTTACCGTTTAAGGTTGAAAAACTTGAATGATGTGTTTGAAAATTATCAATGTTTCTTTAATATGTATCTCAAATTTTACAGACAATAAATTGTTTATACTGAAAATCTACAATATTAGAATATTCGATCGTAGTGGCATCTGCCATAATAAATAGAGATATTTTCTGCGTAAACTTGTGTGTTTACTTTATTTGTTTGCTCGAAATTATTCATCAAATGGTAGGCCTATTTAATCATTTTCTTAAAAAGAAATAATTGTTTAATGTTCGACCTTCTCCGGTCATCAACGGTCACCAGTTTCCAAAAACCTTCTTCTATATTGATCGACTATATGTTGTCCCCAATAACACTACAATGTTGAAAATAGTTAAATGAAATATCTTATATCATTAAACATGTTCCCCGCAGGAAACCGTTTTACTTGTTACAGTTAAATGGTTAACATGGGGAAAAAATCAAAACATTAAAGGAATATAACTTTATCATCAGTGACTGACTATACGTTTATCCAAACGACCCAAGACCTTAAACTATCCAAGGTATTTACAAAATTCAATGTCTTATTTTCAAGTTCAGAAATAGGGGAATATTTGAGGGAATTTGAAGCCACATTTATGTAACTTGACATGGACTTTGCATTAGTTAGTGTAAAAATATGAAGCCATCAGTACAGGTAAAACAATACATCCATTTTGCGTTGCACGGATGACTAGTCGGATGGATGGGCGTACAGTTAAATCTCTATATGTCCGGGGTATAAAAAAGTACAATTATCTATAGTCGTAAACGCGAATATACAATCACACGGACTGGACGATGGAAGGACTAACAGACGGACGAACAAACCTTAGCTTTCGGTAAGTGATGACCCTTATCAAACTCCGAGGGTACAAATCACTTTATTTAATAATATGAATACAATTAAAATACACTTACATGCATTGCAAAAAAAAATCGTAATCATATCAAAATTTCTTGATAGTTGGTTATAATTTCGTTACATAAAAACCTAATTTTCCTCCTTAAATATCTCTGTAAACTTTCCATAATTCATGAACACAAACCAATTAAGATAGCATTCAAAAATCTTTTCTTTTTTATAATTTGTCTGTTTGAAATATTGCTTTTCTGTCGTAGCTAATAAATCAACGTTAATTATTTAAACAAATGCTGCAAGCAACTGTTGCCTCAATGTATAAAGTGTCAAAAACACATCTGATACATTATCTTAATAAAATATTCATGATTTCCTCTTGATATATACATACTAATCAATAGATATTTTACAATAATAACTTTACTGCAAAGAGCATGGCCACTGATATCCGTACCATGTATTATTACTCATAAAACGTTTGTAGTTCAAAGTAATGTCTACATTAACCTACCCACTAAACAACTGAAAGTAAAAATTAACAAAGAACCACCCAAGGACAGATGACAAGATTAATTGACTCAATCAATCAATGACCAGATTAATTGAATCAATCAATCAATCAATTAATCGATCAATCAATCAATCAAGCAAGCAAGCAACCGATCAATTAAGCACTCAAGCAAGCAACCATAACCTACCTATCTAGCTACCTTACTACCTAGTTATCAACCAACCAACCTACCTACCGAACCCACCAACCAACCAACCAACCAACCAACCAACCAACCAACCAACCTACCTACCGAAGCCACCAACCAACCAACCAACCAACCAACCAACCAACCAACCAACCTACCTACCGAACCAAACAACCAATTGGCCAGCCAGCCAGCGAGTCAATCAATCAATCATTTAATCAATCAAATTACAAGTTTTCAGGATAATACAAGCCGATGATGGAATTCTTGATCGTCCGTAAATATTTGTCAGGGATTGCATGAATACATGCATATGGGGTGATTGAAACAAGCACGCAGGGACCTGCAAAATAACGCGTTGGTATGGCGTTCGATTAATAGATTTGTACTTTTATTACTAAATAATGATCGCTGCATAATATCATACAAGTTGTAGTTTTGGGTAATTTAAAAACCTGCTAAAATCCAAACACATTGCTGAAATGATACTCAACTTAAACAGTATAAAGTATCAAAATTTCACACTTACCATAAATGTTGATTTTCTTTCTATGAAATCCATCTTTAAAATCTTAGATTTAACAACTTAAACGCCTAGGGATTGTAACAGTATCACTTTCTATAGTTTATAAACACTTAAATTAATAAAACAATATATCATGAAAACATCCCGTATTGAATATATACAACTTATTTCAACAACTTTCCATAAAATAATCACTATACTGTATTGTATATCATTACACATCGAGGTTTTAATTATAATTCCCAAACAGCATGTGGCTTGCTTAAAAAGTTAACATTTTACGGTTTTAACACTGAAATAAGTATACTGTTTACAATTTATCAAGCGAGTCAAACATTATGAAATTTGAGAATACATGTTGAATTGATGTAATACTTAAATGATCCGCGCCATGACAAAACCAACGTAATGCGTTTGCGACCAGCATGGATCCAGAACAGCCTACGCATCCGCGCAGTCTGATCAGGATCCATGCTGTTCACAGTCAGTTTCTTCACTTGTGATAAAGTTGATAAGCGAACAGCATGGGTCCTGATCAGACTGCGCGGATGCGCAGGCTGGTCTGGATCCATGCTGGTCGCAAACCAACTATGTTGGTTTTGTCGTGACGAGGCTCAAATGTGTATCAATATCACAGTAACCACAAAAAACGACGCAACAAATGTAGTATAAGTATTGCTTTTTTCCCCGAAAACCTTCACTTTTGTTGGGAGAAAGTAGACCTATCTTCACAAGATCATTATTATGTCATTAAATATTCATACACAGCATTGAGTTAGCTAGATATACTCCTGATAGACGGACACACTGTGGGGGGAGGGGGGGGGGTATCCGTCTGCTAGGAAATTTTCCCCGGAATTACATTCATCCTGTTCCAGTAAAACTTTAAAATATCCCGTGTATAGTATATTTCTGTTGGTACAAAATGAAATAAGTGTATCTGTACTCAAATATTTATGTTTCATTTTTGTCAAAGAAATCTATTGTATTGCAGCCAGTTAGTAATAGAAATCATGCAAATGTTTGGCATTTTAGCATTTGTAATGAATTATGACACCGGCATCTGACCATCAACAATACATGTACCAATAAAATGTCAAAATGGCGGACATAAAAAACTCAAAATGAAGTTAATAAACAGTGTTTTTAGTGTTTTAATTTAATTTTGCTAATGTTTACATTTGAACACTAACGTATACTTTTAATGTTATCATAAATTATATTAAAAACTAAAATAAAGCAGGGCACTAAATTTTTTTTTTTTTAGGACCGCTAAAATTTAGCGCCGTATAACCGCTGGAACGCGCAGTATACATGTACAAGCTTTCATACATTTTACTAGAGTTTGTTTTAATCAAACAACATGATTTTCTTCCAAGTTGAATTTTATCATTATGTTCTTGTAAAGTGCGATATAATACAAGAAAAAGTACACATTTCTGAGGGCCTGATATAATTATAGTGACCTCCCAGCCAGTCCCAAACATTGAACAGACCCAGCCTTTGTCTTCGGTCCCTTACACGTATGTTGGCTGACATATCTGTCTTTAACCCTTTCGCTGCCAGAGGATTATTTATTTATTGATCACTTATTTGCCAGAAGGTTTTCTAAGAAATTACTGTATTATTAATTATTATTATTATTATTATTTGTTATTAGTATTATAATAATTATATATGTTTCCAAATCTGCTACTATAATAATAATTATTGTCGATGGTATAATTATTTATATATTTGTTATGA